ACCAAATAAACCTTTGCTCCTTTAACTTTGGGTGTCCTGTATTTTGTCTCAGCAACAAGAGCAGTAAGGAGGACAGCAGGTGGTACTGCTCCAATAGCTCGGAACCCTCCAGCTTTGAGGAGGCCAAGGCAATGCCCAGCAATTACCTGCCCACACGCCCCTGTCTCCTCGACCATCTTACCTTCCTTTTGCACTTCCTATTTGAGGCTGCACATCCCGTGGTCCCTTCCCCTTTCTCAGGGAGGGCCCTACAGCTCAGCACTACCTATCGCTATAGCGCATACTTCATTAACACCGCAGCTCTTACGTGCTAGTCACCTGGCAAGCACAAGGTCTTGGGTTTGATCCCTGGTACCAAAACAAAACAAAAGTCACCTGGGAAAACCTTAAATCTGTTTAACTTGGGCATTCTGTTGCCTCTGTAACCTGCACCCGGGCAGCCACGTGTGGCCGGAAGAAAGACAAGATGGAAACTTGACAAGTTGAAACAAGTTGAAAATAAGTTGAAAGACAAGTTGAAAACTCTCACTTGAATTTTATTCTGACAGAACTCAAGGCTGACATACCGCACTGCCTTGTTAACTTAAATTTTAGGTTTCTGAGTTCGGTCTTAGGCTTCCTGTGGTGGCTTCCATTTTGTTCAACGTAATGACAGTGCTGAGTCCTCAATTTCTCAGGAGCATCAGACGCAGCTGCTTACTTGTCCTTGAAACTTGGTTTCTGGGCCACTGTGTGCCCTTCTTGGCTGTCCTCCTACTTCACTGTGGCCTCTCCTTTCCTAGACTCTTAAGTCTTGGGATGCCCTGAGGTTCAGTTCTCACATCTCCTCTCTCGTCTGTGTATGTCAGGGCTTTTTAATCACGGCACTACTGACATCCTGGGGCGGACAATTCTTTGCTGTGAGGGGCTTTCCTATGGATTACGGAGGGTTTAGGAGCAATCCCAGCCTCTAGATGCCAGGAACATCTTCAACTCATAATCATAGCAATCAAAACCATGACAGATGGCCATGAACAGCCCCTGCTTGATCGTGCTTTACCCCAGCTCCACCACACGTCTTCCCAAAGGCAATGACCAGATGTACACACTGAGCCCAGACATTTCTCCAAGAACCAGCTCTGTCAGTTAAACTATCTTCTCGCTAGCTCTGCTTTGAGCTGGTACCCACACTTGGGCATCTACCTACCGTCTGCCTCCCTACTAGTTTATAGTTTGCATGCAGGTAGGGCTTTGTTGTCCACTGTGCACTCCCAGGGCCCAGAGCAGTACTATGCAGAGAGCGGAGGCTCAGAACCTGCGGGCTCACTAAGGAACGAACACCGAAGGCGCAGGAGCCCAGGGCACACGTGAATCAGGATGCGGCAGTCAGGCAGATGCTTCTAACAGATCAAAGCATTTTCAAAAGACAAATTTTCTATATTTAGGTAAAAACTAAGCTTCATTAAAAAAGTGTAAAGAATATTGCTCATTCCATTATTTAAAATTTTGGAATAATCTTGGACACAGCACAGAGCTCAACTTCCCATTCTTTCAGTGTACTTCACTCTCCTTCAAAATTTGTTTTATACGCATGTCAGTTTGGATATCTTTGGACATACTCATATAAATATTTATTTCAAATCTTTTGAGGCCAGCTGGCTGTCAATTCTTACCTGACGGTGGCTTCCTCAACAATATAATCTACTGATCTAGTTTATGCTGTTTCTGAAGTGGAGGGGAGAGGGGAACAGTTTTTAAAGAGGTTTGAAGTAGAGAATGCTGCTTCCTGTTGAGCAGCTTCACCTGTGAATGGATCACACGGTCTTCTTCTTACTCTCCTCAGGGAAGTAATAACCAAGCACACCATTTTTTTACTCCCCCGGACCTGCTCCTTCATTCCTGCATACTCTATAATCACGCAGATCTTTAAATAGAGAAGACTGCGACTTTCAGCATTCACTTTCGGCCCAAGGAATATCCAGGCAACTTTCCTGTGGCTCATCTCAGGTCATTTATTCACTTATGTGTTTATAAACTTGTGTACATTTCCTTATATGCATTTCCTGAGGTTTCTACTACAATCATTCTTTGAATTGAGTCGAATAATGTCTTAGTAATTTATGCAATCTAGATGTAATGGCTCTTAAAACTTTGTAAGTAATAGGCTAGAGATATTAAAAATTTATAGTTGCACAGCATGGAACTCAACCACGATCTAATTAGCTTTGTGGATGCTATAAGCTCGCATGTGATGCACCCGTCTATGCCTCTGAAGTCTTAAGTGGCATCTCTATTATACACATTTTAATGAATTCATTCAAATCAGTACTTTATATTAAAAATTATCAAAAATATGAGTTTATATATTATCTAATTGTTAATTTAATATAAATTTTCCACATAAAGCTGCTAGAAGGCTGGCCAAATAGCTCAGCGGATTAAAGCGCTTGCTTAGTAGACACAGGGGCCAGGAGATCGATCCTCTGGCTTGCCGTGCTGGCCCCACCCCCAGGGCATGCTGAGACTGCAATTGAGACTAGGCATGGTAGCACGCACTAATAATCCCAGTACTTGGGAGGCTGAAAATAGGAGGATCACTATGAGTCTGATCTACGCAGTGAGACCCTGTACACCCTGTCCTAAATATATAAAAGAAAGCTGCTAGAAGCACCTTTTAAAAATATTATGTATGAACAAACACTGTGATGAATATAGAATGTTATTATTATTATTATTATTTTTTTTTTTTGCAGTACCGGGGATTGAACTCAGGACCCTGTGCTCATCTGGCAAGTACTTATTCTGCGGAGCTATTTCCCTGGGCCCATAGAATGTTAAATTTTAATACTAGAGGAAATTTTTAAAATGACAAAAATGTTATGCTTGATTTCCCATTATTTATTAGCAGATGACATACCTTTAGAAGAGAGTTTTAAAGTATCATTTTTTTCTATTTAGACATTTTTTTTTTTTTCCATTCAGGTAATTCTAAATACAACTTTTTTTTTGAGATGGAGTCTAGTTATGTTGCCCAGGCTGGCCTCAAACTCTATCAGCCCACCTCAGCCTTTCAATAGTTGAGATTGCTGATATAAAGCCCCCCATCGAACCCAGGGCCTTGCACATGCCAGGGGAGCACTCTACCACTGAGCCATGTCCTAGCGTGTTGCGGTTTGTGTCTAGATGTCCCTCCAGAGCCTCATGTGGCCACTGGGTGCTTTTGGGGTGGCTGGATCTAGAGTGCATGAGGGATCTGAAGCACAGTGCTGTGACCAAGGGTGCTGAGATCACACGTGCTGAAGCGCAATGTTGTGACCAAGGGTGCTGAGATCACGCGTGGGTGACGGCTGGGGTCAGTGCACTGACTGAATTGGCGCCGCCCCAATCCCAGTAGACAGCAGACTAGAAAGACTCCCCCCTCTCATTTTTGCTGTCTTCTGTTGTTCCAAGTGGTTGTCCCTCTGCCACGTTCTACCCTACCTCAGAGCCAGCCAATTATGGACTAAACCTCTGCGAACTGTGCGCTAAATAAACCTTCCTTTCTTAACTTTGGGCATCGGGTATTGTGTCTCAGCAATGAGAAAAGTAACTAAGCCACAGCCCTGAGTATAAGTTTTAAGGAAAGATTTCAATCCCACTAAGGCACTAACGGCATCAGAGTTCATGTCCCAAGATGGCAAGCCTAGCACGCTGGAGGTCCTGAGTTTGATCCCCAGGACCACAGAGATGAGAGCTGAGATGAGACGAGACAAAACTTCACTTTCTTGTGAATCAGTAGATCTTGGTAATTTCAACAAGTAACTGAATACAAGTTGTATTGACTGTTTATTGTACTGGATCACTGAAGGAGTTAAAATGTATATACATATTTTTATATATAAGTAAAATTTACTTAGTAAAAGATTTCACAAAATACAAAATCTCACTCATCATAAAACTAAAGAAAGTACAGCAGAGCAGTATTTTGTCTTTTTTTTTTTTTTTTTTTCTTTTTGGTGGAACCGGGGATTGAACTCACGCCCTTGCGCTTTCCAGGGAAGCCTTTATTTTATTGAGCCATCTCCCCGGCCCCAGCAGTGATATTTTAAACCTGGAGGAAAGAATGATGTTGCTTAGGCTCAGAATGGGCAGGAGCATTTCTCCAGTAAGGATGCTGCCGGGGCATCCTTGCATTTCCTGGAGATGTGGGTGGAGTGACTCACGCACTGATGCATACTTGGGTCAAGATACCATGCAGTCTCTGGTTCACAGAGCAGATTTCTAAGAATTAGGAACCCTGCCTCCTAAACCTTCCAAGGTTTGGAGAACAAGAATTAGTTGGACTTCCTGTGCAGCTGAAGTTACACAGGGAGTCTTTTCAGCATGAGCACTGACTAAAATGTCTCAGTGTCACTGTGGATGCTGCTGGAGAAAACACAGCAGAGGTGCGGTGCCAAGAGCTGGGCCTACTCGGTGTCATCGGTTCATCAGCAAGACTGGCCGGGGGGGGGTCCGCTCAGCTTGGGGAAGGGACTGCACTGCCCCGTTACGGATGCGAAGCAAACGGAGCAGACCCCTCTTGCGGCTGTTCCCCAGACAAGCATCTATCAGCTTTCCTTGATATCCAGAAATGGGATGAGTGTGAGCAGGCAGCCTCAGGAAGCCTGTTTTTTTAAAACTAAGTGCGTGGTATTCATTTCATCATCAGTCCTTTGCCCCTAAGAGTAAAGCACTCGGCCGCTGCACATGTGGTCAAAGAACTCCTACACATTAGGGACTAAAGTCTGAATTAAAAAAAAAAAAAAAGTCTTTATCTGCCTTTGCAATTTCATTTTTGACCTCATCAGTTTTAAATTCTAACAGAAGATAATGCTAATCAATATAGCATGTTGTTGGGAGTCAGTTCTGTAATACACGTGGTCTCAGCCACAACATGAACCCAGAGGAAGATGCAAGTCTCCCAGGAGGAGCAAGGGTGAGCCCAAGGTGGACACTGGATCACTGTTTTAGTGAGGATAAGGATTTGGCTGCCCAAGAGCTACCTTCACGTTGAATGTTATTTCCTCCATGACGTACACACGCTCAGGAAATGCCTTGGCCACCTCCTCCACGCTGTTGAAATATTGCACGGGCTCCTTTATATCTCGGTCTTGTTCCAGCAGCTTGAATTGCCCTAAAACACATGATGAACGGAAGAGACGTGAGATGTTAGCACTGGCCAGCTGTCACCATGGCGACAGCATTCTTCTTTATGCAGACCTTTTTGTCAGAGATTTCTGCTCATCATCTTAAGAAAATTTCTGTTGGCAGAAGGCTTTATGAAACAAGAATGTATATAAAATACACAATAATATACATACATAATTATATATATATATTATACATTCTAAAAAGTCAGTTTAAAACTGAAAACAAAGATGCTTTTTCTCCTTTTGTTTACACTCAAGGTTTATCATTAGGTTCAAAATCACACGTCATTAGATCTCAAAGTAAAAACTTACTATGTTTGCTAATGTTGCTTTTTATTTTTATTTTATTTTTTAGTGTATTAGGTATAGGGTCTCACTATGCAGCTCAGACTGTAGTGATCCTTCTGTTTTCAGCCTCCCCACCACTGGGATTATAGGTGTGCACCACCACAACTGGTCTTGGTGGCTGACTCAACGTGCCCGGGCGCAGGGCTGGCAGGGCATGTGGTATCAGGGATCAAACCCAGGTCCTTGCACTTGCCAGACAGGCGCTTATGCTGCTGAGCTATCTCACTGGCCCTTGTGTTGCCTTTAACAGTGTTATCTGTCATTTATTTGTAATAATATACACATATGTATTCTATTCTAAATCCAAGGCCCAGTGGCCTGGTAGAACTAAGTTTTTAAAGTAAACATGTAAAATAGAATAAAATACGGGGTGCAGATGCAGCTCTGTGGTAGAGCATTGCCTAGTACACACAGGCCCTGGGTTTCATCTTTAATGAAATAGAATGGAATAAAATAATACAGTGAGTCGCTGGCTTTCATAGGGTTACAATCCTTGGTTTCAACAGTACAGAAGAGATACTAAGGGCTCATGAAATGCATGGGGCAAACTACAAGAGGTACAGGTGTCACACAGGCCAGGACAGGGGGGCTGGACTGCACAGCGGTCCTCCTCCCATGATGAAAGCCAAGCTGGCTGGACAGTGCTCATGACCCTATTTGCTCCATCTGTTTTTTTTTTTTTTTTTAATTGTGATACCCACAATTTGGTGGATTTATGAAGAACTTTGACTACATTCCTAAAAACACCGAGGCCGTGTTAGACGTACAATTTCAATATTAATGATCCTGATGCTACATTGTAAAATTTTTTTCAGTGTAAAAATAATAGACCCTCTGTAGTCAAGTCAAGGACACAGTGTTTTAATGGTTATTTTTTGAGATCTGTTTATGATATAATGCTAGAGAGACTCTATGCTAGATCTCTTTGTATGCGTCTATGGAGGAATCAGGGAGAAAGAGAGAAACATTCATTTATACTTTCAACAAATTCTTTTATACCATCTCCAAGGTAGAAGCATTTTTATAGATGTTGGAGATTGAGATTCAACAATAAACAGAAGGGGCCGGGGAGATGGCTCAGTGGAATAAGTGCTTCCATGGCAAGCACACAGGCCTGAATTCAATCCCCGGTTCTGAAAAAAAAAAAAAAAAAAAAAAAACCACAAAAACCCAACAATAAACAGAAAAAAACAAAATCTGTCTTTCTGATGGTTACATCCCAGCAGGAGATAGATAATAAATAGAATAAAGGGCAGAGTGTCTCTTGAGGAGTGGTACTGAACAGGGCAGTGTGAGGGGAAGGAGCACACAGGGAGACCCATGAAGGCGCTGCTGGGGACGGCTGCGGGGCAGGTGAGGCAGTGTCACGCACGGCAGCTTGGGGTGGAGCTCTCAGGATTTTCGGCACAGGCACCAGTTTGTGCAGACATCCTCAGTGAGCGCTGCGTGGCACACTGCCAGCGTGGCTGGAGACAGTGAGAAACAAGAAGGAGAGAGAATGTCCACGTGGAGAAGTGATTTGAGTGAATGCCAAGAGACATTCAGGTATAAGACAGGCAGGGCCTGACAATGGTAAGAGATGCTAGCTCTGGCCCAAGCAGCTGAAGGAATAAATTGCCATGAACTGAGATGACACCAGTTTCAAGGTGGATGGAGGACCAGGAGTCAATTTTAACACCTTAAGCCTAGAAGATTACTGGGCATGTAATAGCGCGGAGGTGTCATGGAAGCTCTCATTTGGACATGTACACACGGAGGTCACAAGAGGGGCTTGTGGCACTTTACTGATGCTGAGTGTGGGCTCGAATGTAGACAGGGAAGAGGTGTGAGGTGTGAATCCTACCATACCAGAGGACTAGCCAGGACAGTGAGACAGGACAGTGCTTTAAGGAGTGAGAGGGATGCTGGAGGATGCTGATGGGAAGAGATGTAGCCTCAACACTGTAGGATTTCACCGGGGACTTCACCAAGGATCTGGAATAGCTCTATCAAACATATGACTGAACTGGACTCAAGACAGCCTGGGAAGGAAGAAACTGGTTTGACAAGAATGGATACCAAGTGATGTCTGAGATGTACTTTGTAGAGAGAAACGACGTGGAGTGGTGGCTACAGAGTGGAAGTGGATATGAAACTGGGAGTGCTTGTTTTCTTAAATATAATAGGAGCAGTAAGAACTCCCTTGTATGTCAATGGGAATAACCAACAGACAGGGTCAAGCTGATAATGGGAACTCCTGGAGACCCACTGTTGAGGAGCTGGGGAGGGCACATCTGGCACAGAAGTGGAGGGGGCGCCCCAGGCAGGTACGCAGGCACAGGGCGGCAGTAGGGGCTGGGGGAAACTCCTCACTGCTTCATTTTTTTCCCAGCCACAGTTGAGAAAGACAACGTCAGAAGGGTATGGAAAGAGATTATCCAAAGTCCAGTGAGAAAGAATAACATGATTGCTGGGTAACACCAGGTTAAAGTTCATGGCTGTGATTTAAAAGTAAAATCAGAAAGTGTAAGTGTTCTTCTCCAGGCATGGTTACAGGCACAGGGGTGGCACAAAGTATGTAGGGTGTGGATCCCGCCAGGGCTGTGAAGCCGCCCACTACAAATGGGAAGGAAGTGGGGGGGGGGACTGCCCTGCATGGATTTCCACTGGATGACAGAGGACCCAAGATCACGGACAAGAAGAGTAGAAAGAAGTGCTGGGACCAATAGATTGTAAGCTCTGATGGAGTCGAGCTTTTGATTTTGGAGGAAGTTAGCTCAAAAGCTGCAAAAGAGAGCGGGCTGCTTAAAAATCATTACCTGATGGCTCTAGATAACCTGGAGAAGGACTTCAGGGACAAACCTAACCAAAGACTAGATTAGACTGGCACTTGCAAGCATCTTCCCAAATGAAACGCAGGCCTTCAGCACTGCCATGGGAGGCAGCAGGGGCCAAAGAAGCTGGCAGCACCCCAACTGACAGGCTCATTTGGTTGGGCTCTCAGAACTGTCTGACAAAGACACTGGGTATTTGCCAACATTTCCAATTATCTGTAATTGTGACTTATACTTTCTAATTTGTTAGATGAATAAGAAAAGAAATTACGTATTTGGAACCTGAACACAATTCAAGCTGTCATTAAGCCAGGCGTAATTTCAGGAAAATTGCAAATGATATGCTATTTTCAGAGCAGGAAAGAGTTTACTTTAAATTTGTGATCAATATTTTTGAAACATTTTCCTAAGACAAGGACCATCTGCATGTACACCAAATACTCATTAAGTGCTTGGCAAAGTTTAATCTCTGAGTTAGATATATATATATTCTAGTATATATATTTTTTCTTTAATATATATATGTATATATTAAAGTATAATGATGAAATTAATTTTAATAATATATCTTATTTTAGCCAGTACACCTAAATTCAATATAAATATCATGAAATATTTTCTAGTTTTTTTTTGCATTAAGCCTTGAGTATGTTTTTATTTCTAGATAAAGCAGAACATGTCTGCTCATGAATGAAGAGGCTTACAACTCATATTTCCTTTTTTGTGCTGCTTGATGGCTGATGTTTTGGTTCAACAGAAGAGACTGATCCATCCTCCCTTCTTCCTTCCCCCCCTCCCTCTGTGTGTGTGTGTGTGTGTGTGTGTGTGTGTGTGTTTTCCTGAAATTAAACCCACAGCATTGGGTGTGCTCCAAGTACTCTACTACTGAGCCACAGACCCAGAAGTAGTATGTCCTATCTTCTCCTCCACCTTGAGTTCCTGTCTTTGGGTGCTCTTTAACTATTTCCCTCTGATGCTTGCCATCCCGTATGGACTCAAGGTCTCAGATGTCTTCTGGCGTACAGACAAAATGCATAAGCATAGCTGGTGCAGCCATGGAGCCAAGAAGTTCCTTGGTCCTACCTATGCTTGTCAACTCCTTGGACAGAAGGACAAGAATCACACACACACGGAAGCACTTACAGGAAACTGTGCTGAGAACAATTACGACACACACAGGAAAGGAAGAAAAGAAGCAACAGCCAAGCAAATATTTCAAATTTAAAGTTTGAACATGTTGTCCATCAGAAAAACCAGATTCTTGTCATTCCATAGTTTTTTCAGTCTTGCACATTTTAGCTTACATGTCTGCATATATGTATTAGCACATTTTAAACATTCCCCTGTGATATGCTAAACTACCTAAATCAATGACTTGACATTCCTTACAGCCTCAAAATGCCTTCAAAGTCTAAATAGCAAAACCCCATCAACTGTCTTCTAAACAGTGTTGGCTCAGAGGACACAGATGACTTCCTATTGCAGAGGTTGGTAAACTTGTTCTGCAAATAGTTTAGGTTTGGTTGGGTGAATGGTCTCTGGAGATGGAGGTGTCACAAGGGCAAAAACAGCGAAAGACAGCAGTCAAGAATGAGAGCAGCGGAGACGACCCAGGCCGCGGGATCCTGAACAGACCCAGAGCGCAGGCCCGGGAGTGAGTGAGACGACCCAGGCCGCGGGGTCCTGAACAGACCCAGAGCGCAGGCCCGGGAGTGAGTGAGACGACCCAGGCCGCGGGGTCCTGAACAGACCCGGAGCGCAGGCCGGCGAGGGAGTGACACGACCCAGGCCGCGGGGTCCTGAACAGACCC